ATAATCCCCTAGTTTCCCCGATGTACTACGTAATGGGTTCATATTGGGGCGGGTTCCATTTTTTGGGATCCTTTAGGGGGTCTGGGAACCATGAACCTCCAATCGCGAGACCTACGGACAAGGCTCAGGCCTGATCCCAGCGCTGGTGCTCGAAGAGCAGCGTGCCGTGAAAGGCGACGCTTCCCAGGCCCACCACAGTCACGCTCAGAAAAGCGATGATGAACCTGCTAAGCTGCTAAGTGCGTCTGTGGCACTAATCCTAGGTTCCCGAGTAAACCATAAATAAGAAGGGTACCCTTTTTCCGACTGTTCTGCTTTAATAAGGAGACCCCCAACCAAAAAGGGTCAAAGAGTACTACTGGGGTACCTAGAATCGTAACAGAAATGATATCAGCAAAGGTATACTACAAATAGTAGCAACTATAGTAATAGTAACCACAATTGGGGATCGGGTTTGGCTTTATGAAGGGCACTTCCAAGTGTGCAGTCACTAGTTGGGCACGCCGAAATTCTGGGAGGTCTATGCACTGTGGGGTCTAGGGTTTAAGAGTTAGGGTTGAGGTGACTGATGCAGATACATCAGGTCTAGGCAGGCCTCAAACCAACATTGCAATAGAAAACAGAGGCTAGAACATTGGCACCTGCATAAGGTAGTGAATGCATGTGTCTTCTTAAAAAAAGTTTCACCTTGGGACTCTTGTTTACATTTCTCTGGGATCGATTTTGGGGAGTCCTAAACGAATTCTTGTTGCAGGCTTTCTAGGACATGAACAAAGGTTGCGGCCCATACGTTTCCAGGCATAACCCGGAGACTTGGCGTATTCAGCTCTCATGATAGGCTTCCAATTTCTTTCTAAAGAGCCGCGACGGAACACAAAAGGCGAGAACCCTGCCCCAATGGGTACACAGAGAGCCCATGACCGCTCGAATCGAACCCCAGTATCTTCAATAATAATCCTAAAAAAACCAAAACCCTAAAACCATAAACCGTAAACCCTATTTGGATCCCTGGTCAAAGTGCCCCGGCCTCCACTCCATTAAGTCCCTTCGCCGAAAGTGAATCAAGATGGGTAACAAGCCTGCAATCGCAATGAACAGCGACGTCCTGAAGATTGGATTCAAGGTTCGGGGGTGCTCAGACTTAGGCTTTAAGGGGTTTGGGGTTGAGGGTTTGGGAGATATTAGGGTTATATAGAGATTAATAATGGAAAAGAAAATGGAAACTACTATTTAGGGTTTAGGGTTCAGACTTACGAATTGCCGGTCCTGGCTTTAGAGGGTGCTGGCTGCAATAGGGCTATGACCTTTTGAGGGGTAAAAGTGGCCAATGCCAAATAGGACTGACGAAATCGTTAGTCTCAAGAAGCCTGTAGAAGGCCAACAAGCCGTAATTACACCAGCCCCAAGTGGGTGGTTGTCAAAATTATGGTCCCTTTTGGGTCCCCTAAATATTAGGTGCCGTATTACAATAGGGATCCAAAAAGGGACCATCATTTTGACAACCACCCATGTAGCCGAAGAACAAAAAACTCCTAAGGAGGCTCTAGCGTCAGGCTGTTGAAAAACTCGGCGGCATAGGGTGTCCTTGCATTCCATGCCCAAAGGGTCCATGTAGGTATATGGTATATACTTAGGGCCCAAAGGGGTTCCCATGTACCTACTTTAAGGCCCAAGTATATCCCATATACCTACATAGACCCTTTGGGATCAGGGTTTAGGGTGTTGGGTTTTGGGTTTTAGGAATTTAGAATTTACGGCATGAACTGGCAGGATG